ACTCGTCACCATTTGATTACACATACAAATCTAACGTGAAACAGCTTTACTTCTCAAAACAGTAAAACGCATGCTCTATTTAGGCGATGTAGTTACGTTACGTTCTGATTTATAATCTAGAAGTGTCTTTTAATTTTCACTTGACATTTCTACAATTAAATGTGATTAAAATGTTCACTATGCAGTAAAAACGATTTTTTCCTTACTCCCGGCTATTTTTTCCGAGTTCCCGATAACTCGAACCTTTTTCGATTTCCCTTGAAGGTTCGAGTTATCGGGAGTCGACTGTATACTAAGAGCGGAGCTCTCGCGCGCGAAGCGCGCCAGCAGAGCACCATGGGTAAAGAAAATCAAGTAAAAATCAAGTAAATGGTATAGTCTTTGATTACCCAGGCTTAAACTTTTCCAAATTCTCAAGCTATCAATAAGATGCGTGTACAAAAATATATTATGATATGTGAAATTCTTGCTCAGTTTACCAAATTTCAGTCAAGTCTTTGCAGCATTATTGATTAATGACAAGTACATTAAACCCTCTAGCAGTCACCCCAGAAGTCAGCTATTTCATTAGTTTTGTTGCCTTTGGCAAGTATCAATAGCCCACCAAACAAACCTTGGCAATTGTGAGGCATTTGCTTTTTGTTATTGGTATTTCCTAAAGTGCATTTAGATATATTTTTAATATAAGAAATAGGAATATTTGGTCTGGACAGTCAACTCTCTTTAAGATGGACACCTTTGGGACCAGCACTACTGACTCGGTATATATCCGTCTTATAGAGATCCAAATAGAGTGAGTTATAAAGAGAAACAGGGACCATCTCAAGGTGTCCACTTAACAGAGGTGTTTTTAATAGCTATTATTTAAAATTACATACCGTAAATCCTCTATTTTGCCCCCCCTCTCTATTAAGCCGCCCCTCCTCCTCCCCCAATCCTTATTCTTCACAAAAAAATTAACGATTAACGTGGACTAATCAGTTATGGCTTATTCACGCTGAAAGTTCATATTGTTTTTGGTCTTTGACCGTATGACCTCCAACTTCATAACCTCAAAAATCACTATTTTTTCTTATGTTATTTTGCAAAAGTTTACCAATACATTTTTAGACTACAACACAAGATAAGTTTATTTTTGCACTTTTGGACCTGATCAGTTACCATGGCAACCAATAATGGCAAAAAGATGCCCCCCAGAGTTGCCCGTACTAAAACACTTCTATCTCCAACACGTTACAAAGAAAAATGCTAAAACTTCTGGAATTTATTCTTTAAATGCTATTTCATACAATGAACTAAAGAAATACTGTTCAGTCTCATAGATCCAAAATTATCGCAAGAAGCATATTGACATTGAAAATTCAGTGAAATAAGGATCCAACTTTGGCCTGTTAGACAACAAGGATTGCACCAGCGTACATGATTGTAGCTCATTGCATGTAAAAATATATGGAGATTTTTCACTCCAAAAATGAAAAGAATTGAATAAAACCATGGAAAGTTATGGCTGCTAGCATGTTGCTAGTTCCGTAAGATTCAAAATTATTAGAAAAAATGGGTTAAAGTTTGTGAAATGCAATTCTTGAGACTGTCACAGAGTTCCTGCAAATATAACTCAATTAGAACTCTCTTTGCTTGTTTTTGTCATCTTTTCTTTTCTTCAGGCCTCTGATGACTTTTCTCCTCTTCTTAGTGCTTGCTTTATTTTTATACTCCGCACCGTCCACTCGTAGCTGATCTTGAAGTTTGCACCCCTCTTCAGTATATTTTCCAGGAGGAATGTTTAAGCCCTGGAACAGCTTGATAACAGTTACTGCTCCAATATTAAAATGGGAAACTGCATCATACAGTCCTAATTCTAATGTTTCTCTTCCAACGTAAACTTCTTTTGGGACTCTTTGCCAAATCATTCCATTTAAAGATTCATTTTGATTCTGTGTCTTGCCATGCAAGCACTTCTCAAGCAAGCTGTCCTCACTGAGTCGAATATACTCTGGCTTTAATTTTACAATTACCTCTAAAGGTAAGCCTGGCCCATGCTTGTAAAGCTTTGTGCCATTGGCTTTATCCTGCTGATACCGGCACCAGCTTGCACTGCCTGTTGGGCAATGGTCATGAAGTGGGCGTGCCTCAGTAGACGCACAATGCATCAGGCTAGCATGAATGGCTTTCTTCATGCCAGCAAGATCTCCAACATTTGATCTTATGGCTATGCCATAATAGTTCTGCAGTTTATCAATTTGACTGTCTGTCAGTTTGCCCTTGCCTCCCAGGCCTGGATTCTCACGCTTCAATTTACGAAGTGCAGTTCCCACTCTCTTCTGGACATGGCCAATGCATTCCTTCTTTTCCATTTCAATACCAGCATCTTCATAAACTCCTTTTACTCGACTGAAACTTTTACTGTCACCGTCCCCATAGAATTCAGTGTATCTGAGGTTGTGCAGTTCTACAGACCTTTGAAATATGCGCTCTGCTCCTTCCGGCTCCATAGCTGGTGCTGATCCCCGAAAATTAGCTTTACACTTAGTGTGCTCAGCTCTCCAAGTCTGATTTTCAAGAGATGTTTTATCTAAGTGTTCATGGCGCTCACATTGTTTGCAACCTTGACTGAGGGGTTCTACATCGAGCACCCTTCCTGTGTCCATGGATATTACAGTCACACAACCATTGCGTGACGAGTAGCTTCTCTTTTGCCATGTGCCATCACATGAAACGCCACAATTAAATGGTCCAGCTTCAGACGCAGTGCATTGGTTTTTGAAGGCATAAATATCTTGACCGGCTTTCTTCATACTCTCTTTTGCTATTTCTTTGACGTGACGGCCGATCACACGTGAGTTGAAAATGAACGCTTTTTCAGTGGGAGGTGGAGGCATGTTCATGATCGCACAGAATTTTCTTGCTCCAGCATAACCCTTACCAATGGTTCTCATGCCATAGACAAGACGCCGATTTACTTCGTAGCTCTTCCCCTGCTTCTTCGAAGTGCAAAAGGAATGTTTCCATCCACAATGCTCGCACAACAAACGCAAAGTCGAGGCACATCCCTTCCGCTTCATGTTATCTTCCATGAGCAAAAGGCTGAAATTGCCACAGTCGCCACACCGTAGCTGCGCAAAAACAGACGACAGCACCTCCATATCACAAAATCTAAGCCCTGTAATAGCAGGACTGTTTTCCTTTGAAAGTTGGTCGTCTACCTCTGGTTTAGGCTTCTCTTCTTGGGTATTTGTCACAAGCTTTTGAAACGAAGCCGAACATTCCTCCGCTTACTTCTGACAGTGCAAAGAACTCGCTCCCGATCCACTTGAAGTGCTTTCCAAAGCAACTATTTCTTCGTCTTGAACGCTTTGCTTACTCGTAAAACGATTTCCATGAAATTTTCGCTTCTTGCGCCTTTGAGACGAAAATTTTGGCATTTTTGTACGAAAACTCGTGTCACTCGTGAAAATTCACACAGCTCAGCGTTGCAAAAGGCCTCATTGTTTGCTCAAAGTACTTGAAAACGAGGCTGATGGATACCAGTCTCCCAGGGTATGTGCCTCGGCCAGAAAACTTCGTTGAGAGCACTTTCAACATGGAAACCAAGTGACACTTCTTTCAAAATTGCAATTTATCACTATATACGAACAGAATATTGACAAAAAAACTATACTGCCAAAAAATTGAATCATAAAAGATGTGAACACGAGCAAAAAAATTTTTAGGCAATTTCTCATAAAAATCGCGTTTTTTTTGTATAGTATCACCTTTTTAACTTTCTCAACTTTGCGCTCTAGTTCTCTGTGGAGAACATTTTTGAAGAATAAGAATTTTGTTTTTTGTTACTTTTAGGCTCCCACAAGTGAAATAAATACTTTTGACAGTGACTTTAATTGTATAACGCGTAAGTCTACTCTGTCTCATACCACGGTATTTTTGCTACAGGTGATGCGTTTTGCTAATTAAATAAGCCCCCCCTCAAAAATGCTTGAAAAAAATAAGCCCCCCGGGGGGCTTAATAGAGGATTTACGGTACTCTAATAACAGTGGAACGAAGTGCAATGAAGATTGTTATCTTTCCTGTGGTAATTAACTAAAGATACAGTTTGTTGGATGTTGTACCAATGGTACCTGAAGGGAAAGTTTTATTTAATGGTTCATTTTTACTGGGTATGTGCTGCTGGCCTCTCAGTATCCCTATCCCATTACTGTATACCGATAGTCTACTCTGTGGCCATATTATAGACCCCATTTCGGTCACTTTGGAAAAAAAGTGATTTTTGCAATCCCAACTTGGTCACTTTCTGTTTATTTATCTACCTAATAAAGTCTTTTGACTTGGTCGTCCTGAAATTAACTGACACTTGTTAAACTTAATGTTTTAGTTTTGTTTTACAGTTAATTGTAAGATCAGGACAAGCATTGTGAAATAAATGAGAATTGTCAGTTACAATTCTTGAGTCATTTTTCTTTAAATATTGTAATCACCTTGCACCCTTTACAGTGGAACTCTGATATTTAAGAAGTTTCAAGGAACGAAGTGCAATGAAGATTGTTACTGTTTCAGCAGTGTCTTCGTTATATCAGGGTTTCAGGTAAGGGTTGTGATAAATGAGGGGGAAACGGATCGAACTGATGGTCTTTCAACCTGTCCTAGTTGAGTTCAATGAACTTCTGCAGCATTAGTCCACTTTAAAGAAAGGTTGAAAGCTAGTGTTAAGTGAAAATTGCAAGAAGCAATAAAGGGGTAGATGCCAGGGAAGAAAAGAGAGAAGGGTAGTACGTATGTACTGTCCTGGCACGCTCACTTTACAATATAAAATTTGCTCTATATTTGTCCATACAAATATGTTATTTGACAAAGTTTGAACACATTTGAACACATTTGTTTGCAGTTTGGCTCATTTATCTGTATTTGTCACAAAGCAAATGTTAAATTTGTCCTTCATTTACACAGCATTTGTTCACATTTGTCTTAGATAGCAAATGCATCATTATCCTATTTGTCTTAAAGACAAATGTTTAATTTGTGCTTTGCACAAATGTGAGCAAATATGACAAATTTTATATTTAGACCACATTTGTCCCACATTTATCTCATTTCAAATCTGTTTTTTCATCCAGTGTATAAAGCTTCCAGCTAAAGTTATGTTCCACGATCACAACATGGTAACTTGAATTTGGATTTTTGGATGAAGAATCACCGTTTACAGATTTATTGATCGCAGTTACTATTAGTCGCAACTCCTGCCTTTAACCAGAAATAGCAGAAACTGTGTTTTTTTCCATCAGCTCCAAGCTGAACGTAAGCTGAACTTGTACTGTTTCAATGGAAACTTGGTTCACGATTCTTGGTTGGACACTATCCATTGCGGCGGCGGCTGGAAACGGTTCCATTATTTTTCTTGTTTGCAAAAAACGACGGCTCCTCACTAAAACCAACGCTTTTATCATTTCCCTTGCAGTAGCGGATCTCGGTGTAGGGGCTTGCGTTTTCCCTTCAGAGTTTTTCTCCGAAATCGTCAAAACTAGCCACAATTCGTCTTCAAACTGTAACAACATTCGATTGCTAATACGATGGCTGTTCAGCTACGCATCTGTGACAAGCTTGTGCAGTTTAATTCTGGATCGTTACGTGGCGATTGTTAAGCCTTTAAATTATCTAAATTTTATGAGCCGAGGTCGTGTTATCCAAATGATTTTTGTTTCCTGGGCAATCCCTGTGGGATTTGACATAACTTCAATTCTCTTACCTGCTCCAGTTAAGTGCAATTTTGTTAACATATTTGGCATGTTTTGGGAGAGTTTTTCATGCTGCTTTCTAATATTCTGCTTTTCCTCTATGATACTTGTCGTATATAAACATGATAGATCGTCAGCCATCTTAGCAAAACAGTTACGCTTCAACCACAGAGGTTTGACAGTCAGCAGTCAGGACAGATCAGCAGTAACAATGATGGCGATTGTGATAGTCGTGTTTCTCGTCTGCTATGGAATATATTTGCGCTGCAGTATAGTAGCACTTTTTCATAATCTCAAATGTAATGATACAGACTATAAAATACCCATGTTAGTCCTGAATTCCGCCATCAACCCTTGGGCATATGCATTCTTCAAGAGGGACATAAAGAAAGAGATGATTAAGAAATTGATTTGCAGAAAAACTAAGAAGAAACTGCAAAATCAATAAGTATTAAAAATGCAAGATTTGCGATTACAGTTGTTTAAGTTAAGAAATCAAAAAAAAAATGTTAAATCCTTTTGAGCCCGTTGGCACAGTTTTGACAGTTTTTTCCAATAATAACAACGCACAAATTTGCATATTATGGTTTATGATCAAATGCCAGGGGCACCCAACGAGAATATAGTTCAAAACCATTAAAACATGGCATTGTTAAACGTATTTTAGTATTTAAACGGTAGATATAGGCATATTTATATCCCCTAAAAAATTTTCATCTATTCGGATTTCCTAGCTGACAGTCTAGCTAGTGATCCAAAAATTGTAGGGATCAATTAAAATTTACCTTTTCGAAAATTTCAGCCACAAAAAAGGCTCCCGAAAATTCTAGGTGACCTTTTTAGGGTAAACACCCGTTAAAAAATGAGCAATTATGCCATTTTTGCCTAGGAGAAGCAGGCAAGCAAGAAATTTTACAACAAATTTTCCGAAAATTCTAGATCTCAAATCGTCTTCAGAACACATATTGTCTGAATATTGACGTTGGGTGCCCCTGAATAGCGGATTCAATGACTCGAAAATCGTTCTATTGTTACAATTTATTTAATAGATACCTTCCTTTATCGTGATTATAACAGTTTGATCCCATACTGCCAGGCAACTCAGACAGTGTTTTAGGCAGATAAATTGTCAATCGAAAAATAGACATTTTCTGTAATAATTATTAAGCGGACTTTGAAAACTAAATCACAAGGACAAATGTTTTAGAGATATAGAGAAAGATATCCAAGGTCTTGACTTCAAGTTAAACACAGTTCAAGAAACCTTTGTTTGCTCATAAATTAAAAGCTCACCGCAATTAACGTTTGCGACAACTGATAACCCTAAGAAAACAGACCATTAGCGACGCCCTCACTGGTTACCCCTGTTCACAGACCCTCTATTTTCTCTTCAAAGTCCGTCGAGCGCGCGCGACAAAAAACCGCGAGGGATATTGACCGCCAGCACAAGAGGGTAGGGGTGGGGGAAGAAGATAGACATCTTTGGGAGCAACTGAAACTTGCTTTTCCCAGGAAAAGCAAATTACCATGAGCTGAACGGCGATTATCCTGTCATCATCATGTCAACGACTCATCACACTCTCGTCCTGCGAGTAGAAGCGTTTGTCATCGCCTGGACGCGCTAACTAACTATTGTAATTTTCATTAAAAAAAACACCGATTGAAAAAAGCGCAGCCAGATGCAGTCATCGTCATACTACAGGCTTATATTGATCATGCTGACCATATCTTTTGTATCGGAGTGTAGACTATGGAAAGCGCGCTTGACGACTGTTTGGCACAGTTTTCGAGCAAATACGTGCTCAAAAAAGAGCAGCGCCAAGCTGTTTTGGGTGACTGGAGCAAAAGCCGGACTGGTTGTGGCCGTTCTACCACGAGTTTTGGGAAAATGTTAATTTACCAGTTGTTCGCGGCAGTGAAACTGAAACAAAGAGAAAAGAAAGTAGTATTAGTTGCATCGCCATTGCGGATGTTATCAATGATCAAGTTGAAGCAATGGTTTTTTAAAAGCATTTTATATCAAAATATAAACTATTTACTGAATTGTAATTACCAACTGTGTGCAAATTTATTATCTAACTTCGCTTTTACCAATACGTTCAATTCTGGCTGGGATCTAACTATCAAGTGTAATCATATAACTTTCATAAAGCTTTATTTTTGAATAACGGGTTGCAACTAGTTGTCTTACAACACGAATCTCAAGCCTCGGGCTTACTTATATTTTGAGAAATTATTTAAAAGAAATCCACGAGTCCTTAGATCTTTTTTTTTTTTTGAAATAGGTAGTGAAGAAGGGAGTCAGTATGGAGATATTGCTAACTCACTTGTTGTCAAAGTGTATTTATCGTGCAGTGATACAGTTGACTCCCGATAACTCGAGCCCTCAATAACTCGAACTTCGCGCTAACTCGAACCAAAATCGATTTCCCCTGGATTTCCAACATACATTTATTGTGATTTTACCCTCGGTAACTCGAACCCTTGATAACTCGAACCTCCTGTTAACTCGAAGTAGTTTTTGTTTCCCCTCAGATCATTTCTATACAATGTTACCCTCGATAACTCAAACCATGTTTTGAGCTCTTTCTTATTTGATTAAAAGTCGGGGGAAAAAAACAGTCTTCTGGCGTCCCAAACCTTGAATTTTCAATTTCCAATTGACATGTTGTAGGAAATACTTTACTATTGGAGGCTGATGTTGTTTGTCACTAATATCATAGGTGACGAATTACTCCTTAATTTTGGCGCGAAATTTCAGCGATAATTTGTAATTACAAAATTGCCATGGCAACCTTCCGTACGTCTCAGTGTCAAGATGGTGACGAACTTTTAAAATGTCATGAATGAAGATGCCAGGGCATATAAAGACGCTTTAGAAAACCTGAACACACGAAAGAGCACATCAAGAAGGATTTTAACAGGTATTTTGTCGAAAAAGTCTGAATTTAAGCCAAATCTAAGCTCTAAACGTTCGAGAGATTGGAGTTCTCGATCGTTAAGATCCAGGATAAACATGTCAAAGTCCAAGATTGCTAACGTAGTTCGTCACCTATAATATTAATAGGTAATCAAATGGTATACTTGTGAAATTAGGGAATAATTTCACCTGCGTTTTGTCCAAATCCGGAGCTATCGCGCGCGAAGCGCGCCAGCAGAGCACCATGGGTAAAGAAAATGAAGTAATCTAGCCATCCGAGAAAATTTGGTAATCACTTGACCGTACACCGACAGACTGCCCGACCGACCGCCCGTCCGCACCACAGGCGCACCAATGTAAAATAACTCAATCAACAGGTATGGTAACCCAAATGCAACTCGAGGTTATTTTGGCAGGAAATCGCATATATAGCCACCGGCGTCTTGTAAGCAGAGACAACAACAGAGTCAATAAAGAAGAAAACGGAAAGCGGAAATTGTTTCTGGATCCGTGTTGTCTGACGTATTAAGCTTAGATAAATTGTCATGTCCACAAATTTGGAAGATAGAGTGAGAGAAAGACAAAGAAAAAGAGAAAGTGGGCGGCAGGCCAGCGAAGCTCAACGAAAGAGGGCGACAGGGATTTAGAGCGAGAGATAAAGAACAAAGGAGACATTTTTGTTGGAAGAACAGCATGAAAATTTTGTAACGGCGGTGACAAAATTAGAAATGCTAACGGCCACAAAAGCAAGGTGAAAATGAGCGACAGTCAAAAATAGTGAACGGGAACACGTATGACATTTCCTCCATAAAACGTGTAACTAAAAAGTTTCTGGAAGTTTCACGTTGTAGTCGTGCAAAACAACGGCAAAGAAATGTACAAAAAAACTGTGCTGCACGTGCAAAGTTGCTTTTGCTAATTAGACTTATTGTTGTTTCTCACCGTTTTCCGAAGTTGCATGCCCTCCCTGCTTAGCATTACACGATTTTATATTTTGTTTGAACAACCTATAAAATAATATTATCGAGAGCTTCGCTTTTATCCCTGGCTAAATCTATATATTAGCCTGTAAACAGACGTTGTTTTATTTTTCCTTTCGTTCTTTCCAAAATGTTTTATTTTTCTTTTCGTTTTTTTCAAAAACATCGCGCGAGAATGAGCGCGCGAGAAGGAGCGCGGAGGACGAGAAAGAAAACTAAAGAACGTTCTTCTTCCCCCACCACTACCCGCTTGCGCTGCCAGTCAATACATCCCCTGCGGTTTATATTTTATCACCCGCGCTAGATGGACTTTAAAGAAAAAATAGAGGGTCTGTGAACATACTATATACTGTATATAAAGCATACATGGGTTTCAGCTGTACCAATTTTATTGAGCAGCTTTTCCGTACATTGACGTGTGCTCCATTTGCCGTTGTAATTTTTAATATGCTAAAGTGTAAAAACGAACAGCTGCTGTAAACGTCGGGTGCTGATGTTCGATCCGGCCTAGGGAAAAACTCAGAAAAACCTCAGAGGGGGTAGGAATACAGCCCACCCCCGTGGGTCCGAGGGTTAATACAGTCGACTCCCGTTAACTCGAACCTCCCGCTAACTCGAGGCAATTTTCATTTCCCTTTAGATCATTTTCTACATAATTTTACCCTCGATAACTCGAACTTTTTTCTATTTCCCTATAAGGTTCGAATTATCGAGAGTCGACTGTAGAAAGGCTTGTAATATCACAGGTGTCCCAAGCCCACGTTACGAGTGTGTTAATTCCTGACTAGTTCAATCGATAAAACCGATAATCAATAACAATTGATAAAATCGACAAAAATTAGATAATTGTATCGGAAATCAATAAAAATCAATAATGGAATGCGTGAGTAATCGATAATTATCGATTTTTAACTGTTATTGTTATCGATTTTATCGAACTTATCAAATTTATCGGCGCAATACGTTTCCACGAATTTAAGGGCAGCGAAGCATCAGAACCTCCCGAAAACCAGTCTAACAAAAAAATACTCTCGTAAGTTTAAAGATTTATTTCACAAATCAAATGTTGAACAAATACGTAACATGATCGGCATTATACCAAGAGAGGATAAAGGGGACAGAGAGGGCATCCCCCATACACACCCTATTCTATAGGTAATTCGTCTCGAGTTATTTTTGTGTTCCGCGTGGATGACCCACGCTCAGAGCCACGCGTCTTTCAAGAAATGACGCAGAACAAAATGGTGGAAGACTCGGAGAGCGATATTGCTATTCGTTTGGTCGACGAAAACGACTACAGCGAGATCTCTGCTAAAGCTGTGTCAGCGAAACGGAAATTAAAAAAGAATCGCCCTTCCTCTCTTGTATAGAACTAACAGTACAGCAGGGAAATCCTTAACACAGTGAATATTCTCTCAGGATCATTTATAATTTACAGTTTGAAGAGAGCAATTTCTGGTTTGATATTTATTAGTCTTTTATTATTCAACAAAAATAACACTTGGCGTCCTACTTGCTTTATTCTACAAACGACCGGTTTCAATAGACCGACGAAATTTCTCATTTTATTAAAGCGCTCATGAGGTTACGACAACTTCGAGTTAAACTGATTTCACGGGTTGTCAAAGAGTCCAGCGTTTCCCTTTTCCAAGGTGAGCGCCGACTCATTTCGCTTCAATATTCAGGAATGCTCTCGATCTCTTTACGCTTTCATTGCATTTCGCCCGACATGTTTTGCACGGCGTTTAGTCATGCGAAACCTCCACGAAACATCCACGCAGCGCGCGAGGTAACTTTATCCCGATTCTAAAAATAACTCGAGACGAATTACCTATGAAATAGGGTGTGTATGGGGGATGCCTTCTCTGTCCCCTTTATCCTCTCTTGGCTTTTACTGAATTAACCTTCGGACGTATTAACGTACACGCTACGCTGTCATCCCCCAACATGGTACAAGTGGTGGTGGTGGTGGTGGTGGGGTGGGTGAGGGGGTTGATGGAACCACTCTCTGAAGTTTTTGCAGGAGCCCATAACCCGGAGCGTGCAACTGCCATGCTTTTTTTTTCAGTGTGAAGGAGTTGTCCTGGTTACGTATTAAAAGTTTATTATTGATGACGCACTTGCTTGTGATTGGCTTTCCGAAAGCAATTCGCGGGAAAGGCTTATCTAAAAATAAACCTACTTGTGGAAACGCCGTTGCATGGGCGCAGTATGGAAGTTAGACGCTCCGGGTTATGGGCTCCTGGTTTTTGACATGTTGCAGTGTTTCCAAAAGATTTTACCTTTAGCGGAAAGCTTTTGATCTTCTCGACAAGATCATTGAGGCATATTTTAGAAAATCCTTAAATAAGAAAGACCGGGTTTAATTTATGAGCCCACCGAGATTGAGCACCCCACCCAAACCCTTGTTTTCACTAAAACCGCTGAAAACCAACCTGGTTGAGGTCATTGTTATCTAAGATCTTTCTATATTTTATTGGGATTGGCGCTGCTAGAGGCCTGTGACGTCACCAAACATATTCGCCATCTTGGCTGCCATTTTTGATTTTACCAAGAATTAGAAATCAGGTAAAAACGGCTAACATGTCAAATAACACATAAAATAAGTACTTTGCTTCATTTTATCCGAAAGTTTAACTTTTATCGTTAGAAGAAGTTAAAAAACATACATTTTCATTCAAAAATGGCTTGACCACCTGCTACATATACTTATGACGTCATATTTCGTAACCATGGCGAGGGATAAACGAACAGCTGCTGTAAACGTCGGGTGCTTATGTTTGATCTTTTAGAAAAAAAAACTCAGAAAAAACTCAGAGGGAGGAGGCATACACCCCCCTCCCCCGCCCCCTGTAGGTCCGAGGGTTGATATAAAGGTTTTGTAGAATGCGGGCGTCATAATTTCACTTGGGCTAGTTTATCCTAAGACGGAGATCTAGATTTGTTATTCTTCTTGCCCCAGTTGGTCGAAACGTGGATAACGCTGTCTGGCATCGGATAAATCTTTTTCCACAGGATAGGGCAATTGGTTTTCTTAATACCTATCCACTACACAGTGATTTAGCTGACTCCAGTTGTTCGAAAGATGCGGATAACGATATCCACTGGATATATAAATCTCTACCCAGGGGATAGCGCAACTGATTTTCGTATTACTTATCCGCTGGATAGCGGTATCCAACGTTTGAACAACTGGGCCCTGGTAGATAGTGCCACGCATGGCCATCTTTTGAACAACCGGACATGTTTAGAAGCAGCACGAATTTCATTTTCCATAATTACGAAGTCTAATGGACAAACTTTTCGTTTTCGTTTGTTTGTTTGTTTGTTTTTGATTTTTTTTTCGATCTTCAAGTCTCCCGGCATTAGCATCAAAATTAACAATAGTTCAATCATGACAAAATGTTGCGTTTGATAACAGGTCAGAGCTTCAAGTCTCCACGACAAAGTCCATTTAAAAGTAACGTAGAACGAAGCTGAAAACGACCCAACTAATTGTTCTAAATGCTTTTTTGTGTTTTGTCACTTAAACTGGCCACAATTGCCCCTAAATCCCATTTAATGACGACACAAGCCAAAAGGGAAGGGAATTTCCACGCTTTGCATAAACGTTTATTTATTGTTGACATTGAAAAAATTAAGTTTTAATGGCTCAATTAATACCGGTTATTAGATTTCACACAACAGGTAAATAAAGAAAAAATAATACAGAGCGGCTTATTTGCCTTTTATAACAGGATCCTCAACTTAAGTCTCCAGAAAATTGTTTTTCGTTGAGTTAAGCGTGAGTTTCTTTTAAACTGAAAGGAATGTCAGTACAGGCTAATGGCAATAACTGGAAGGGCCGCGCAAAACATATAACAAGTCTTTTATACAGCACTAGACACGTTCGATCTCCTGATTGGCCAGGGAACCACCGCCTGCACACTGCCGGTAAGAAACCGGAAATGCTTGAAATAAAATGACATTATGATTCCATCTTCTCATCATAATGTTTGTTTTTCGTTGAGTTAAGCGTGAGTTTCTTTTCAACAGACCCTTCTAATTGGTCTAAATACTATGCTGTCCTACAGTCATCTTAGCAATGATTGTCAGGTCATAAATTGACGTACATATGGTACCGGTATATTATGTTCTAAAGAAAAGGCACGAACCTTACCAGATGTTTGTAAGATATCCTACCTTTCTTTTTTCCTTATGCTTACCTTTCTTTCCTACGGCCTTTCTTAACAATGGAGGTCCTTATAGTGAACATAAAGCCTCCAGCTAGAGTTATGTTCAACGATCACAACATGGTAACTTGGGTTTGGATTTTTGGATGAAATGTCGCCGTTAACAGACTCGTTGATCGCAGTTACTTTTTGTCGCACCTCCTGCCTTTAACCAGAAATAGCAGAAACTGTTTTTAAATTTTCATTTGAGGTGCTAATAAAAAGTGTCAGATACCGTGGTGAGAAACAAAAAAACATCAGTTGAATTTTAACAGTATTCGATCAGTTCCAAGCTGAATTCGAGTCCTGTTTCAATGGAAACTTGGTTCACGATTCTTGGTTGGACATTATCCGTTGTGGCGGCGGCTGGAAATGGCTCCATTATTTTTCTTGTTTGCAGCGAACGACGGCTCCTCACTAAAACCAACGCCTTTATCATTTCTCTTGCAATAGCGGATCTCGGTGTAGGGGTTAGCGTTTTCCCTTCAGAGTTTTCCTGCGAAATCGTTAAAAATAGCCACATTTCGTCTTCAAGATGTTGGAATATCGATCGAATACGATGGCTGTTCGGTTACGCAAGCTTGTGCAGTTTAGTTCTGGATCGTTACGTGGCGATTGTTACGCCTTTAAAGTATCTAAATTTTATGAGCCGAGGTCGTGTTATCCAAATGATTTTTGTTTCCTGGGCAATCCCTGTGGGATTTGTCATAACTTCATTTTTCTTACTCCAGCGGAATTTTGTTATCATATTTGCCATGTTTTGGGAGATTTTTTCATGCTTCTTTCTGATATTCTGCTTTTCTTCCATGGTAAGTGTTGTATATAAAAATGATCGATCTTCAGCCACCTTAGCAAAGCAGCTGCGGTTCAACAACAGAGATTTGACAGTCAGAAGTCAGGACAGATCAGCAGTAACAATGATGGCGATTGTAATAGTCGTGTTTCTCGTCTGCTATGGAATATATTTGCGCTGCTGTTTAGTATCACTTCTTTATCATACCCGTCAGTGTAATGATGAAGTCTATAAAATACCCATGTTAGTCCTGAATTCTGCCATCAACCCTTGGGTCTATGCATTCTTCAAGAGGGACATAAAGAAGGAAATGATTAAGAAATTGATTTGCAGAAAAACCTACAGGGAGAAACTACAGAATCAATAACTTTTATTTGAAAAAGAAAGATTTTTGTTAATGCTTTGCTTTTATAGTAAATGTTGTTTAAGTTTAACTGAAATCAAAAAATGTTAAATCCTCCATTAAAAATCCTCATAAGCCCGTAGGCCCAGTTTTGACAGTTTTGTATCATCATAATAATAATAATAATGATAATAATAATTTTATCACTTATAACGTAAAAAACGCGCAAATTTGCACTCTTGATGCATATTATCGAATGCGCGTAAAGGAGAAGATGAACTCTAGAGTTAACGCCTCCCAGCCTATATTAAATGAGTCGAAAATTCTTTCTATCGTTATATTTCATTAAAAATAATACCTTCCCTCATCGTGATTTTAACAGATTGATCCCATACTGCCAGGCAGCTCAGATACTGTTTTTGGCAGATAAGACATACTTATTAAGCGGACTTTGAAAACTAAATTACAGGAACAAATGTGACGTGTTAAGGATACAGAGAAACATGTCTATGGTCTTGACTTCAAGTAAAGCACAAACTCAAGAAACCTTTGTTTGCTCTATAAATTAAAAGTACATCGTAATCAACGTTTGCGACAACTGATAAGCCTGAGAAAACAGACATTTGCCACGCCACCACCGGTTTGCCCGCGAATAACGAGCGTAGAAATTCCGTGCTGATGACGTATCACAACCCAGATCTGGATAGTGCTTCTGACCGGTTGAAGCAAAATTTCCCTCGCGAAGCGCTACCCAGATCTGGGTGGTGACACGTCCTCAGTATGGAATTGCTGCAGCTGTTCCTCAGACGTCATTAGTGAGCTTACGCAACCGGGCGGGAAAGGAAAAAAAGGACGACAGCAAATTGTGTGACAAGCGTGACAATAATCTTGTTTCAAAAAACCTTCCGCCAAATTTCACATTCCTTCAAACAGATCTTTTTGTAGAAGAGCAAAAAACATCAATGTTAAGTGAGTTCCGAAACACGCATGTAATAGCCCCGTCACGTTTGTCATATTAAGCGTTTTGCTGTCCTCTTCTTCCTGCCGTCCTGATCCGTAAAGTTAAAACTTACTATTTTACGGCGAAAAACAGTGGTGGCTAGTTGTCGCGAACATCCAAAATAGCGCGTGACTTTGCTATGCATTGTACTTGTCCATCTCAGTTTACGGTTCAGTCAGATGGACGGAATACAAGGCAAGACCTTTGAAAGACGGTCTGCCTCTCCTGTTAGGTTCTCGACTCATTGTTATCCGGGTTACTTCCAAAATTGTCCGTTGTCCTTATTAACTGGCCAAATTAAGAGAAATAGTCTGAAATATTTCTCGGGAAAATGTCCGTACGTTTGGTTAGGTTCTCATTGGTACGACGCTTCTATAGATTACAGTGCATAGATCGACAGGCAGAAAAACTTTGTATGACGTACTGTTTCATGGGGGTTACATAAATTGTCCTATATTAAAAAAATAGTAAATTAAAAAAAAGCCTGACGTGAGCTTTTTGTCGGAACACTTAAAGGGACTGGTTCACGATAATGCGCATGCGCGCCGTTTGTCTCTTCAGAATAAATTTGTTGGGTCAACACTAAATTCGAAATCGCCATTACCGGTACAATCATTGAAAATCCTTCGTTTTATTCGGACATCCGTCGCTTTGGCTGGTCTAGTTATACTTCGGTAGTGGTGATTAACGTGTGGTTGTGTCGTTTGACTGGTTACGTTTTAAGAAGACGCAAAAAATAATGTTTTGATCATGGAGGTTGAGAAGAGCATCGTGGCCGTCCAGCAACAGGACGTTCTCAAGAGTCTCTGGAGATAGAGAAGCTTAGCCTATCGATCTGGTATGGTTCTAGGAGTAGTGTGTGGCATACAAAAAGAATACACGACACTTGGAAAGTGGTTAAAGGCATGAGTTCGTTCAACTTTGATTTGATTTTTGACTCCAACCTGTAGTTATACCGCAACAGGCCGCGCGATCTTCACCGATCTGGTACACTTGAAATGTTCCTTGTATCTTTGCTTTACGATCGTATATGTTTAAGAATTGATGTTTTTAAAATAAATTATTGCCTGAATATGCTGTTCATAATCTAGTTTCTTTATGTGTGCTACTCGATAACATTTGTTTTGCGGAACACTGACCCGATGCAACGCGAATGAATTTGTTCATTTGCTGATAAGCAATTGAAATTTATGCTCAATTAAGGATAATCTTTATACTCATACGTTGTGTGTGTTTGTCACCGGTCCGGCGCTATTTGTAGGTATTTCTTGGTTTATATAAGGCGAACTGAGAGAACAGTAATAAGATGTTTGTTTACAAATTTTGTTTGCCGATCGGTGACTGTTTTGTTAGCGTGGGTACGACCTCGTAAAAATACACGTTGGTAAATGTTTGTTTCAAAGCACGACAGTGCTGTAAATTTTATTCTTATCAGCTGCAACATATATCTGAGGAGTAGCAAAGAATAAAATTGAATTATGGGGATAAATAAAATCAAACCAAATGCCGGAAATACTCGCGCGTCGCGAACAATTAATTTGAATTTTGTAAATTTACTTGCGTGCATCTAGCTCGCTTCCGATTGGTTGAAAAACAATCACCTACTGTCAGAACTCACACATGCGCATTATCGTGAACCAGTCCTTTAATATGTAAACGAGTGTCCGCTACAAGTGGAGCAAGCGGCCTCAAGTTCGCTTCTCTGATGAAAGTCTTAAGTGTTTGATATTTTAAAGGAGGCTGTTTGGTTACGGTCCGACCAAATGGATTTTTGTTTGGCTTGCTGCGAAGCTATTTATAAACTGAATTGTCTATTACCAACTATCGAGTCATTTATTTTTTCTTTTACACTCCTCATGGTTTTATAATCAATGTTTTCTGATTTCCCTTTGCCTGTTGCAAATAAATTATCTACTTCGCCTTCGCCAAATACGTTCAAATCTGGCTGGGATCTTACTCTATACAACTCGTCAAGTGTAATCATATAACTTTCATAAAGCTTTATCGTTGGCTTTGAATAATGGGTTTCAACTAGTTGTCTTACAACACGAATCTCAAGCCTGACTTGCTTATATTTTTAAAAGAAATCTACGAGCCCTTCGATCTTTTTTGTTTTTGTTTGTGTTTTTTGTTTTTCTTTTTCTTTTCTTTTTTGAAACATGAATAATAAATCATTTAATAGTTTTTCCGCAGTTATTTTTTTAATGGATGAGTAATTAACTAACTACGAGGCAAAGCCGGTCCTTATCCAGAACTAAACTCGAAACCTCCCGTAGTGTGTGTTGAAAATAGATCGTAAAAGCGCGTCAAGAAAAGAAAAAAGTTAACATATTTTGCCCTGATAGTCACAAATAATTCCACTAATTAAAAGCTTTCCTACTTCATTAATAATAAAATATACTCGGGAAAAACTTGCACAGAGAACCAAAATTTCCAATGATAGCATACCTCCTAATATGTCCTCCTTTTAAAAGAAGAGAATATCTTTGAAATAGATATAGTAATTAATAAATAGTCTGTTTAGAGAAATTGCTGTCTCGCTTGTATTTGAATTTGTATTTAATTTTTACTCCATCCTATAGTTGTTTAGTTGTACAATAATAATTAGTACAAGGTTGTTTAAACTACGTGTACATAAGAAAAAAAAAGAAAAAAATTAGAATGGAGAAGGGCACGTGATAGTAAAACTGATTATGGCCCTTTACCAAGATTGACTTTTATTATTCTATTATGGCTCACAAACACACACGCATACATACATACACACGCACATAAGTCAATATTGAGCAAGATAATATTTTTTAAGTGCGTTTTTGAACAGGAACTCTTACACGAAAAATTAAATTATTTGAACACACATAAAAGGCAACAAATAACACTAAACTAGCCAGCTTCAAAAGACGCAGCCATCATCATCGCTGACCGCTGACCGCATTGGACTCACTTTTTGTCAAAGTGTAATTATTGTGTGATATATATGTACAAGTCAGTACTGCACTAAATAAAATCGGAGCAGGTGCGTGCAGGTGCTTTCATTTTCTCGTTAGGAGTATTGATCGCAGCCAAGATAAAGTAATCACAGTATGGAAACCCCTGGTTTTGGGTTATTGGCTGAGTTCTTTCCGTTGTGACGATAACTGGAAATGACTTCACTCAAGAGCCATAATGTCTCTTGCTTCACTATATTGCTTGTTGGCCGCAATCGACCCCTCTGCACCAAAACCAACGCGTTTTTAGCTTCGCTTGCTGTGGTGGATTTTCTTGTTGGAGTGGGCATCGTTCCCTCTTTTTTCTTCTGCGAGATCACAAGAGGCGCGCGGGTGTAAATGGTCTCGAGCCTGGTCCACCTGGCTCCCTGGTTTAATACGATGGCTATTTGGATACGCGTCGGTATTCAATTTGTGCAGCTTGGTGACAGATCGCTATATAGCTATTGTAAAGCCTTTAAAATACGTAACTTGCGTATAACTGTACGTTGAGTGATTCAAATGATATTCCTTTCTTGGGCGATCCCCTTTGGATTTGTGAATTGTTCCCGCGGAACTCACTCTCGCTGTGGCTTTGTATCACTCTTTCTCAGCCTTCCATGTAATGACTTTGAATATAAATTACTTATATTCAGGTTATATTGATCTTAAACTCCGCCATAAACCCTTTGGGCGCACGCTTTCTTCAAAAAAGGATGACAATTAAAGTAGATCCTAATCAGTAATGCCAATCACGTTACAGTGGGTACATGTTGCTCGACTTTGTAAACAGTCCATTAAGAACAAAATGTCAAGCAGTTGAGGATACTAGTGTCTCTTACTATTTATGTCACATCGTCAAAGCATTGACAAAACGCGCGTATTCAATCCTAAACAAAACAAGGAAAAATGTAGTCGTCACAAATCCAAGGGGGATCGCCCAAGTATGTCATACCTCAAAAAACAGAAAAAAGAAGCAGAATTTAGTTTAATAAACCATTGAGCAGCTTTTCCGTACATTGACGTATGCTCAATGTGCCGTAAGGTTGTAATTTTAATATGCTAAAGTGTAAAAACGAACAGCTGCTGTGAACCTCCGGTGCTGATGTTCGACCTTCTGTGTTCACTGGATAGCGCAATTGGTTTTCCCACAGGTAGCCCAAGCTCGAAATATGAGCATCGGCGAGCATCGGCATTGTCGCGTAACATTCAAAATATAAGGATTTGTATGAGAAAATGAAAGGATTTCAATAAAAAACAGCTTACCTTACTTAAGGTGGCTCCCTAGAGTATTTACTAATAACCCTAGCTATGTAGCATACGTTACAGAACGAAATCTAGTTACTTTGTCTTTACGACTTTGTTCACGAGATTCTCCGCTAAGGTTACCCATATAAGAAGGCTCCTTTATCAAGTTTCATTTTCTAGATTAACGCCGTTGCCATGGCAACATCGCATCCTTTGACAGGCAGTAATTTTGTCATTTTTGATCATTTTTTCTTAATATTTCTTATTTCCCTCGGTGAAATGTCTTTAAACTTTGACACTTTATATTAACGATATTGCTTAACATTTTAAAGTGGAATAAACATGGGGTCGTTAAGACGGTTTTGCCAATATTTTGAAATTTGTAATTTTTCTTAATGGAGGAATTTAGCTCTTACAGATTTTAACAAAAAGAGGACAGTACAAAGGTCCTGCAACTGTTAAGAAAAAACGCGATTTTTAAAAACATTTACCGAAGGAAACGCGAGAAATTTACGGTTAATTAATTACGTTGACGTCACAAAAATCCGAAAAACACGCGTGGTTTGGGGTCGTATGAGTAAAATACGCGCGCGAGCCATCACGCCCGCATGCGCATAATGCACAAAGCTACTGAAAACATGTGGTTTCTTTGAAGAGTACGAAAGCCATTGTTTTGAAGCCGTTTCTTAGTATTATTACGGTGATATCTCGCTAGTTGAAAAAGGAGAGATAGCGGATTCAATTTTATACCTAACACAAGATGTTATCTTCGAAGTACTTGACTGTTGTAGCTAAAAATTCGAACCGTGGTGGTCACTCGTGAGGATGGCGATCGTCGGAGATGAAGACGGTGGTTGTGCAGGGATCGCAATAAGCCCTTTATCGCCTAATCTGCCGTACACTGTTTGCAGATCTTCAACTGTCAGCCCACTTCCGAATACTTTTTCAACCTTGTTCTTCTTAAGGGATAATTTCGACGGCGAAGTTTTTCTTTAAAAGTGTGCTGTAAAAGATGGCGCCGATCTATAATCGTACATCCTGTCCTCAGCTACACGTACAAGACCTTAGGTCTCGACGGACAACTATTGCCTTCTTCAAGGGTCAATCTGTGAGTAAAAATTATTTCTCGTCGTGCAAAAACATTTTCTAGTGCATCTTGCATGTGCGTTGAAGGACGTTTGAAACAAGGAAAAATACAAAGATGTTGGTTCGTCGATGGAAAGGTTCCTTCGGTTGGGATGCAAGTTAAGTGGGAAACCTTTTTTCTGATAAGTTTTTTAAACAATGTGATAGAGTCGGCAAAACAAAAAATTACACTCCCTGTAATCTTGTCTTAAAGCCACTTCTAGAATTACTTAAATCAAATCAAATGTTAAAGAAATAAAGTGACCAAGGAGCTCTGCCAGTGAAGACAATCTTCATCGTTTGTTTGGGAATTGGCTCGATCTTTCAGATCTTTCCACTCACCGTGAACGAGAGGCCAGTAACAGCAACATTGCTTCCTTCTGGGTTTGTGTATTTACTTCTTTGTTTTCTAAGTGAAGTTTCCACTCACCATTTGTGACCCTCCACAGGATTTTAATGCTAAAGGTGAAAGCACGCGCACGACACGCTTTCACTTTAAAACAAAAGAATTTATTTTAACACGCTTTAGCACGCTTGCAATCTTGCCTCATTAGCAATTTCTTTTGTTTCAGAGGACACGCTTGAGACAATTAAGCGTGAGCAAGTCGAACAAAAGAGCGTGTTAAAGTTTTCAAACAAAAGCTCTGTGCGAAAAAGCACTACACGCTTTCAGTGTGCGCAAAACCACGCAAGGCGTGTTATCTATAAGCTAAATATATTTCCCCTACAAAAAGGAACCGTAAATGATTATGAACGCACCCTTTTTTGGTAACTATCGAGAAAGAAAAAGTTCTACCTAAGCGATCGCAGCGATAGTATCTGATTGAAAAAACGTTGTCGCTTGAAAAGTATAAACAGTGAACGGTGGGACCTACTGGATTTATGGGTAGAAATTACAAGGGCTTCAGCATTATTTTCCCTAAAATTTTAGCTTCCAATTGAAAGTTTTAGGAAAGTGAGAATTTCATCGTATTTTCGGTTCCGAAAATTTTAGGATTCCTTTCTCTACGAAAAATAGCTAGGGATAGAAAAGCTTCGAAAATTGTATATGCATGGAACGGTCATCTAGAAATGTTAAGTCTTCCTCAACCTATAGAAAATTCTAGGCAGGTTTTGTTTCTCCGATTTAATTACCTTCGTTCGTCTCAGTATAGCTTAAAGAAATATATTAAACTAATTTGTTCAACCTCATTTCTCTGTGCATTACCGCTAATAAATATTCCGGTACGTGACATAACTATAATTTTCAGGCGACATAACTTTAGTGCCTCGCATGCGATAGCAGGCCTCTTTGCGATTCCGGTCAACAGCCGACAGCCGGAGAAATTGGTTTACACTGATCTCGCATTAATTCCAGGCTAGACGACCATTAAGTGGTGATTTTCAAATGGCTATGGCTACGATCTTACGATATTACGTGTCTTACCCCAATTGCACGCTAAGCGTGCTAGAATTCGCACACTTACCGTGACATATGGCACGCTACAAAAAAACAAAAGGTCTAGCGTGTTAAATTTATCAAAACAAAGGCAAGTGTGTCCGTCTTTGTTTTTTCAATTAATATGCGCATATCCGTGATCTACGGCACGCTAAGCGTGTCGTGCAAGCGTGTCGTGAGCGTGCTTTCACCTTTGGCATCAAATTCCTGTGGAAGGTCACATTTACCTCGACTATTTAACGTTTGTCTACTTTAATTTTGAAGCGAAAGAATTGATGTCTTTGGAAAATATCAGCTTTGTTTTTACATACAATTTACTCTCACTTATGGAGATCAATAGTGACTTGTAACCGGTGTAACATTGTCTCCTCTCATAAATGTTTGACCTACACTAATCAAACTTTTTGCACAATGAGCTTCGATTCAATAGAAAGTTAATAAAGAGTTTTGGGGGGAATATTTCGAAACTGAGAGGCCATGTTTGTTTTAATTTTTGCGTGGACGTCGCGCGGATTTTAAAGCTCGCGCCATACTAGTGCTCAGGCTGCGCACGGCCAATTTACTCTAGGGAGCCACCTTAAAATGTGTGTTTCGTCTCTCCTGTGTGGCCCACGGGCCAATTTATGGCCGTTTTATGGGTTTTTATGTAAACGGTTTTCTCTCTATATAAAACCGTTTACATAAAAACCCATAAAACGGCCAAAAATCGGCTCGTGAACCACACAGGAGAGACGTAACACACATTTTAGGTAAGGTATTGAAATCCTTTCGTTTTCGTAGGTTACGGAAACGATAGGTTTTTTTCCCATACAAATCCTTATATTTTGAATGTTACGCAGCAATGCCGATGCTCGCCGATGCTCATATTTCGAGCTTGGGTTACCTGTGGTTTTCCTAATACTTATCCTCTGGATAGTAATTTATGTGGTGGATAGCGCGATCCATCTTTTGAACGACCAGGGCATGTTTAGCAGGAGCAAGAATTTCATTTTCCATGATTACGAAGGACGAGCTTTTTGTTTATTTCTCTCTCTGTTTGTTTGTTTGTTTTTTTTTTTTCGATCTTTAAGTCTCCCGGCATTAGTCATCAGAATCAACAATAGCTGAATCATGACAAAATAACTGTAGAGAGGCTTGTTGCAGTTTGATAACACAAGGAGTTTCAAGTCTCCACAAATTTGCCATTCGTTGAGTTTATAAGACTTTCAGTTAAAAGTAAAGTAGAACGTAGCTACCCCTCTAATTTTTCTAAATGCTTTTTGTGTTTTGTCACTAACTGCAGGCGCGGATCTCGGATAAATAATGACCGATTTCCTAAACTAGAGCCGAAGGTGCAAGCTTCTGGGGGATGGAGGGTCCGGGCTATGCGCCACGTATCGTGAAATTTTTCGGATCTTAACTCCCAAAAGTCCCCTTTGCTGGGTTTCTAAGTCATTCAGACAGGATATTTGTCAGTTCCATTCTCCTTGGGTGATCGTTGCAAATCGGCGGATTATTTCATCAAGGTAAACTTCCATGTTGTATGTTGGATATGGAGCAAGATTGCAGCTTGGAGAGTTTTTTATTATTAAAAATATATTTATTATCAAAAATCTGGCCGATTTTAGTAAAACGGTGGAAATCGGTGTGGATCTGCGCCTGAACTGATCACCGTAAAATTGCCCCTAAATTACATTTAATGACGACACAAGCCAAAAAGGGGCGGGAATTTCCAAGCTTTGCATAAACGTTTGTTTATTGTAGACATTGAACAAAGTTTTAATCCCTCAATTAATATCGGTTATTATAGATTTCACAGCAAGTGAATCAAGAAAAAAAATACAGAGCGGCTTATTTGCATTTTATAACAGGATCCTGAGGTCTCCAGAAAATTGCTTTTCGTTAAGTTAAACGCGAACTTCTTTTAAACTGACCCTTCTAATTGGTCTTAATGCAATTTGCTGTCCTACAGCCATCTAAGCAATGATTGTCAGGTCATTCATTGACGCATATATGGTATATTGTTCTTAAGATAAGGCGCAAACGTTACCAGATGTTTATAAGATATCCTTACCTTTCCTTCCGATCGAGGACCTCAATCGACGAGAACTTAAAGCTTTCAGCTAGAATTTATGTTCAACGATTAAAACATTGTAACTTGGATTTGGATTCAATTTGGATGAAGAATCGCCGTGAACAGACTCGTTGATCGCATTTACTTTTAGTCGCACCTCCTGCCTGTAACCAGAAATAGCAGAAACTGTTTTTAAATTTCCAGTTGAGGTGCTGATAAAAAGTCAATGTCAGATACCTTCGTTTAGAAACAAAAACTATCCCTCCAGTATTCGATCAGCTCCAAGCTGAAGTTGTGAATGGAAACTTGGTCCACGATTCTTGGTTGGACACTATCCATTGTGGCGGCGGCTGGAAATAGCTCTATTATTTTTCTTGTTTGCGGCAAACGACGGCTCCTCACTAAAATCAACGCTTTCATCATTTCTCTTGCAGTAGCGGATCTCGGTGTAGGGGCCAGCGTTTTCCCTTCACAGTTTTTCTACGAAATCGTTCAAACTAGCCACAACTCGTCTTCAAGATGTTGGAATATCGATCGAATACGATGGCTGTTCGGCTACGCATCTGTGACAAGCTTGTGCAGTTTAGTTCTGGATCGTTACGTGGCGATTGTTACGCCTTTAAAGTATCTAAATTTTATGAGCCGAGGTCGTGTTATCCAAATGATTTTTGTTTCCTGGGCAATCCCTGTGGGATTTGTCATAACTTCATTTTTCTTACTCAAGCGGAATTTTGTTATCATATTTGCCATGTTTTGGGAGATTTTTTCATGCTGCTTTCTAATATTCTGCTTTTCCTCTATGATACTTGTCGTATATAAACATGATAGATCGTCAGCCACCTTAGCAAAACAGTTACGGTTCAACCACAGAGGTTTGACAGTCAGCAGTCAGGACAGATCAGCAGTAACAATGATGGCGATTGTAAAAGTCGTGTTTCTCGTCTGCTATGCAATATATTTGCGCTGCAGTCTAGTATCACTTCTTCATTATCCCCGTTGTGATGATAAAGTCTATAAAATACCTATGTTAGTCCTGAATTCTGCCATCAACCCTTGGGCATATGCATTCTTCAAGAAGGACATAAAGAGGGAGATGATGAAGAAATTGATTTGCCGAAAAACCAAGGAGAAACTGCAAAATCAATAACCATTAAAAATGCAAGATTTGAGTTTACAGTTTTTTAAGTTTAGAAATCAAAAAGTGTTAAATCCTCATGAGCCCGTAGGCACAGTTTCGACAGTTTTCTCCAATAATAATAATAACGCGCAAATTTTCATATCATGGTATATGATAAAATGCGCGTAAAGGAGAAGATGAACTCTAGAGTTAATGCCTCCCAGCCAATAGTAGATTCAATGACTCGAAAATTCGTCCTATTGTTACAACTTGTTTTATAGATACCTTCCTTTATCGTGATTATAACAGTTTGATCCCATACTGCCAGGCAACTCAGACAGTGTTTTATAGGCATATAAATTGTCAATCGAACAATAGACATTTTCCGTAATAATTATTATTAGCTGTTTTTGAAAACTAAATTACAAGGACAAATGTTTTAGAGATATAGAGAAAGATATCTAAGGTCTTGACTTCAAGTTAAGCACAAACTCAAGAAACCTTTGTTTGCTCTATAAATTAAAAGCACACCACAATAAACGTTTGCGACAACTGATAACCCTAAGAAAACAGGCCATTAGCGACGCCAACAATGGTTTCCTCTTTTCACAGACCCTCCATTTTCTCTTCTCTTTCGGGCCTTGTTGTGATAAGGTTTCTACTGTGGGAGGAGGGGTGAGGAAAGCAGGCTTTAAGGGTGGTGGAGGGGTGAGGCGTTCTTTGTCAGGTTTTTGAGAGATAGCCGCTTCTGTTAATTCAGGTGTTTCATTAAAGGGGTTGAGGGGAGTGGAGAATGCTATCGTTGCTGTCGAAGAATCATGTGTCCTTGATGTTAAGTCTGGAACAGTGCTGATTATTTCTTCCGGTCGTGTTCTTGTATCTAATTGTTCTTTAAAAGCCAGGTATCTGTTATGCAACTGAATGTATCGCTTAGCTTTTTCATCGTCCCGAAGATCGTTTCGAGAAAGCACGTCATCCATGTTACCTTGCATTTCTTGCATTGCCGGAAGAAGCATACAGGCGAAAGAGTTTGCTGCTTCAGATATTTTAGAAGCTCTTGAGGAATATTTTCTTGAAACCCTGCTTGGTTAAAGCCTTCTTCACTGGGCAGGACGTTTGTTCGCAACCGACAATTGTCTTGGGTAGTAGTTTTCAGATCAGTCCAAAGATAACCAAAAGGTCTTTTTACAGCCTCTTCGTAATGATTTAAAAAGAAATCCGTCTGCCCGGGATACATTTGCTTCGCAGCGCCGTAGCTAGTATGAGGCCAACCGAGGCACTCGCCTCGGTAAAATTTTGACGAATTTCGCCGATCATTTTTATTTTACATAAGCGATCATCGGATATTTTTAACGCATCATGATATTACAAAGAATTCAGCAATTCAGTCAATATACTATGAAAAAATTACCATATCATCGATCTCAAGGGGCTACGTACGTTTAATAACTAAATTTTTTTTTGAACAAATACTGATCAAAACCATTGGCGAGGTTAACGGTCACCCAGATTATGTAGCTTGTTTCTGATTATTGCTTTTTAAATTCCACTTAAATTAACTCGAAAAAAACTTACCGAAAGGCCCAGAAAACGCTGCAAATCGCATTTCCGAGAGACTAAAGTTCAAGATTTCTCGGGGGGGGGGGGGCATGCCCCCGAACCCCCCTAGCAACTCCCGCCTGCCTCGGTTGGCCGTTTGGTCTGGCTACGGCACTGCTTCGCCAGAGTCAAGATCTGCAATTTGTTTCGTGGATTCTCTTAATAACACCAGATAATGGCTGTTTAGGCTTATGCTGCGGCTACCTTTCCCCAGATGAAATATATTCTGCACGATATAAATCACGCTCAGATTGCGATAATGAGAACCACGAGTAAAGAGGTTCACAATTCGCTTGTCTTTACTGGCGTCAGTCATCTGATCATCAAACACGATCAAATTCCGTTTGTTCACATCAAAATAGGAATCCTGCTCCAAAGCCGTAGGAATTCGATGGATAGATAGATAGACAGACAGACAGACAGACAGACAGACAGACAGACAGATAGATAGTTAGATAGATAGATAGATAGATAGATAGATAGGTAGTTAATTCTGATTAAAATCGCAGCCAAAAGCTGAATTAGATTAATCGTTACAATAATAAAATCTAATAAAAATATGAGAAAAATATAAGAAAAATGTACACATATGTAGCTAAAAATTTAATTACAGTTGCTATATAGAAATGTGTTCTAAGTCTCTTCGTCTTAGCCAGAGGGACATTAAAATTCCTCTTTCGTCTTAAATTGGATTCACAATTGTTCATGAGGATCCGCAAGCGACTTTTTTTTGCGATCAGCATGATTTCTTAGTTGCTACGGACGCTTTGTTTTCAAAAGGTGACAAGAGAATTTCCTGCTGTGGGAATTTAATTAGCACGTTAATTTCTGGCCAAAAAACGTAATCCGATAAGGTGTCAACCCTGTCATATGCCACTACAGTAGTAATCCTTTTGAAAGCTCAGAACGCGTTCAAGATAGTAAAAACCAGATGAAAATACAACGCTATCCATTATAAAAATTAAAATAAAGCAAACTTAAAACAATTTTGCTTATAGTAAAGTGTATGCCTTGCAAAACCTTCAAGTTGCGTTCTAGATAATTTTTTGCCAGATTTCAGCACGAGGAATCCACGCGCCAGGACGCGCGAACAGCAATGATCAGGAAATAAAGCGGAAGAACGAATTGTCTTTTCAAAAATATATTTTCCCTTTCAAACTGAAATGCTTCAAGGCTAAACAAGATTTTGCCTATTGCGACTGGCCGGTGCTATCTCACGATAGCCGATCTGTAGCGACGACACGGAGTCGAGTGTAAATATTGAGCCGCTTTTTAGGCATGCGGTTGCCTGCAGTCTTTATTTATGCGTCGTAATGTCAAAACAAAGAAACAAATCAGCAAGTCGAAAAAAGGATTGTGCAAGTAAAAGTATAACCCATCCTACAATGGAATTAATTGGATTTTACTTTATATGGTATGCTTTTGGTATATCGCGCTAGATCTGCCACGATACTTTGTCAGAAGATTCCTGAGAGTGAGAGCCACGAGTGATGGCGGTGTACATGTGTGACGATCCTCGTCTATTCTATTGCGCCGGTTTTTTTTCTCCTTCGCTGGATACCGAAAAGACTTGGTATCATTGCTTTGAATTCCAGCCTATGTAATGGAAAGCTATGCATGTTCGGCTCCTCCGATTCAGTCAAGAGTTTTAGCGAGGAATTTAAGCAGTCTGACAAGATGGCGTTCTTGCTTGTATGAGTTGGTTCTCCGTGCCGTCGATGGAGGGGCTTTTTGGTCCGCTGTCGCTCGATATCATTCGCCACAAGTCCCTTAGCTAAATCATGTTTCTAGAAGCGGATTTCAAGAGCTGGTGGACTGGATCAGTTCATTTTGATTCAAGGGTTCTGTCCATTGGCGCCAAAATCGAATAGCCCGCCAATTCCCCAAAATAGCCCGCCAATCCAAAATCTCTGTACACATCCTTCACTCAGGAAACAACCAAGTAACAATGGGTATGACTCGCTTTTATTAAATAACAAAGTCAGTATACCAACTTGCATAGCAAATTGTGAGAAATGAGGTCAGTTAACCGGTTTATTGTTTGTTGAAATATCATTTTCTTGTAATTATGGTGGGACATAATTTTTGAAGCCCATTGTTTCTCCCTTATTTAAATTCATTTTTTTCTCCTTTCACTTCAATTCCTGTCACTTTTCAATGGCTAATAATGTTTTTTTTTTCATAAAGGCTGATCTCATAAACTGTTTTGCAAATGTGATTAGGCATTCAGAGGTCTTAAAGAAAAGTGAAATTTTTTTGACAGAAAACACTACAATTATGTTTGTTTAAAGGGCAACATTTAACTTTAAGAAGAAATTCTTCTTTTTCATCGATCTGTATGTATTCAAGAGTGGGTGTTTGATACTGCCATGATGTTCTGCGACTCCTAAGCGCAAATTGTGAAATGCAACAGAACACTAGGTGTGTCGCCTGTGTTTCTGTGAGTTAGAAATTCATGGCATTATTAATTCACCTGCAAACTTATCTAATAGTCATCTTGAGTGAGTAGGTTTTTGATACTGCCATGATGATCTGCGACTCCTAAGTGCAAATTGTGAAATGCAACAGAACACTAGGTGTGTCGCCCGTGCTTCTGTGAGTTAGAAATTCATGGCATTATTAATTCACCTGCAAACTTATCTAATAGTCATCTTGAGTGAGTAGGTTTTTGATAATGCCATGATGATCTGTGACTCCTAAGTGCAAATTGTGAAATGCAACAGAACACTAGGTGTGTCGCCCGTGTTTCTGTGAGTTTGAAATTCATGGCATTATTAATTCACCTGCAAACTTATCTAATAGTCATCTTGAGTGAGTAGGTTTTTGATAATGCCATGATGTTCTGCGACTCCTAAGTGCAAATTGTGAAATGCAACAGAACACTAGGTGTGTCGCCCGTGTTTCTGTGAGTTAGAAATTCATGGCATTATTAATTCACCTGCAAACTTATCTAATAGTCATCTTGAGTGAGTAGGTTTTTGATAATGCCATGATGATCTGCGACTCCTAAGTGCAAATTGTGAAATGCAACAGAACACTAGGTGTGTCACCGGTGCTTCTGTGAGTTAGAAATTCATGGCATTATTAATTCACCTGCAAACTTATCTAATAGTCATCTTGAGTGAGTAGGTTTTTGATAATGCCATGATGTTCTGCGACTCCTAAGTGCAAATTGTGAAATGCAACAGAACACTAGGTGTGTCGCCCGTGTTTCTGTGAGTTAGAAATTCATGGCATTATTAATTCACCTGCAAACTTATCTAATAGTCATCTTGAGTGAGTAGGTTTTTAATAATGCCATGATGTTCTGCGACTCCTAAGTGCAAATTGTGAAATGCAACAGAACACTAGGTGTGTCGCCCGTGTTTCTGTGAGTTTGAAATTCATGGCATTATTAATTCACCTGCAAACTTATCTAATAGTCATCTTGAGTGAGTAGGTTTTTGATAATGCCATGATGATCTGCGACTCCTTAAGTGCAAATTGTGAAATGCAACAGAACACTAAGTGTGTCGCCCGTGTTTCTGTGAGTTAGAAATTCATCACATTTTTAATTCACCTGTAAACTTATCTAATGGTCATCTTAAGTGAGTAGGTTTTGGGAATGGGTTTTTGACATTTTACTTCTCTTACTGACAATCGGTCATTTAGAAAATATTGTTGTTTGCAGTTACACTGGATCATAAAGGGTTGTTATTGATAATGGCATGAACTCTATGCTATTCTATTTGTCCTTTCTGTTGAGTTTTGTATCTTTTTCTGTGCATTTAGGATATGGCTGGATTCTATTGCGTTTTGCCTTAAACTGCAGGGGAATGAACAAGTGAATAGTTTTCCTTAGTATTGAAACATGTATTTATTAACCTAGTATTATCATTTTAACAACTAACAACCTTTAGATGCTCCAGAAGGCTTTGTTCAAGCAATAGCCCTTGAAGAGCAAAAAATCAACCGGAGGCACCATAAACTTTATACGTTTATGTGTCTAAAAGCTTTTCGCTGATATGAAAACTCATATCATAAAGATTTAAAAATGTAGAAACTTTTGAAATCTAATATTAAGCAATCTTGGCAGGCATAATACTTTAATACCTACAGAAAAAAATGGCGCTCCAGTTCAAAGACTCACTTGTTCCAAGAAAAACTTAATGGACTGCATCAGCGTCTAAAAATGATCTTGAGAAAATACAAAAGAAACTAAAATCTTTATTTTTAGAAAATAATTACCCAATGTACATGGACCATCTTCTTGACCTCGAAATGTATGTCGCGGAAAAAAATAAGATTCGCTTAGTAGAAAGTTTAGAACGCTCCACGCGCGGCATAGTGACCAACGCGCGACAAAGAAAACCCCTGTTGTTCAAGCAGACTCTAAGGACCTCTAAGGTCACGTCTCACATTATTACTAGTTTATAAGTCGTGTTTATTTCAAACAATTAAGAGATTTTTTCTAGACTGCTTGCAGGCCCCCTTTTTTTGCATAGACCATTTTCATGACCGCTAAATGTAAGTCTCAGTGCGGCGGAAAAAATACAATTTTAGAACGCTCGATGTGCGGCATTGGTGACCAACGCGCGACGAGGGAAAGAAGGAAAACCCCTGTTGTTCAAGCAAACTCTAAGGTCACGTCTCACAACATTACGAGTTTTTAAGTCGTGTTTATTTCAAACATTTAAGAAAGTCTTTCTAGACTGTTTGCAGCCCGCCTTTTCTCTTAAAATCTGTTTAGTTCTTATTCCAGCTAGCGAGATTGTAAACAACAACTTTAGAATAGAGAATTTACCCTGGGTGCCAGAGACTTTCCATGCCCGCGCTTTCCGTTCTCGGCCAAAGCTTTTCAGTGAAATCAGTGAAGGTCGAGACGCCCGCATTTAGCAGTTCGCGGCTTTGTAAAGGAAAATAATAGACTGCTCGCAGTTTATAGTCGTTCAAGCAACGAGGCCTTCCGTTGGCAAAATAAATATTGTACTATTAAATTTTGCGTTAACCTTCGCAAACTGACTAAAGAATTCTATGTAAGATTTGGTTTCGGAATAATTGTTACGGCGTGCATTTAGTTTTCCTCGCTTTTAGCCAAATATTTCACTCACAAGAAAAATAGTTTTTAACTCGGCATTTGCAGCTCACACGCCAAATTGTTCACGCGTTTTACTCGCCGTTTGTCGCGGCTTGCTTTGAAAGGTCCCACGAGTTTTTTTCTGTGTTTCCATTGAGTGCAATGAATCAAATTTCTAATTAATTTGGTTAAGTTGTCAAACGATGAGTTGTAAATAAAATGAAACATTCAGTCGTGATGATTTAGAGAGGATCGTATTCTATGAGTTGTCAACACGTCTTTTGTTTTACATTGCGCAATCGGTCATTTCAGATGACCGACTTCGCCGGTCTCTAAGTCTTGCGGATCCTCATGCGAGGTGGCAAGAGCTCATGTAGTTTATGGTCTGAGTTACAAGTGATGGAATCAAAAAGCTTAGTTGTGATAGACTGTCTGCGTCGAGAGAGCGTCTCCAAGTTGGCTTGATGTAATGCGTCGCTATATGGTACATGGTATATAAGGGAATTCCCTCGACGAATTCAATGTGTTGCATGGCGACTAACATTTGTGTATATGCAGGCTCCCATTGTGAATAACACCAAACGATCCTCTCCGGGGGATTGTAAATGGTCTCTGAAGCTTGTTGCAATAGAAATCGAACCCAGGCCGTTTTTCCGGAGCCAGTCATTCCGGCAATCATGGAAGTGAAAGGATGCTCGAAGCGAAACCGCTGACATTTCTGTGAAAACATTGGAACTGTTTGAAATGGGGTGAGACCAGCATTGCGGTGTTTAGACATCACGTGCCTTTGCATACTATTTTTTCTACTAAAGGATTTTTCGCAGACCGAACCGAACCAACTCACGTCAACCCCTCAGGAGCAAAATGTAGACTGAGAAAGAGGTAGAATGTTGTGCACTTGTATAGGTTTTCAGGCGATAAAATTCAATTGTTTTCCTCTCCCAAGACCACCGCCACCACATTTCTATTGTTTTCCCTCCACCACCACCATATTTCTATTGTTTCTCCTCCACCACCACCACCGCCACCACATTTCTATTGTTTTCTCTCCACCACCACCACCGCCACCACATTTACTGTTGTTTTCCCTCCACGAGATTCTATAAAAGACTACCAACTGCCATTCTTAGTTCATTTTGTAGCAACGTCTCGTGTAGTGAACCACAATCGTGGTTTTCTTCAGCTGTTAGCTGCTTGCCCTGCTTATCAGCGCCAGTTTCTTTTAAAGACAGCTACACCACAGCAACTACATGCACTAGTCCAAGTCTTATACAATGTACTCATGGGACACATTCCTATCTCCGAAGAAAATAAGCGGGTATTGCTGCCATAAGGATGCTTTACTTAACCTGGCTAGTCCAAATGTCCCTTACAAAAAAAAGAACCGAGTCCTTGTACAAGATGGTGGTGGTTTTATTGAAGATGTATTAGCTCCTGTTGTTTCAAGCCTAGGCTTGCTAATGCTATAAAAGAGGTGACGCATCGCTAGGTTGATCATTGGAAGCTAAGTCTGTCACTGGTACTCATCAAAATGAAGAGAAAGATAGATTTGGTTGAAGAAGAACACGAGAGTAAACATGAAGAAAGCGAGAGTTCTTGCTAGCTAGCTCCGCAGAGCTAGCTAGCTAGAATTAATTTCTGGTGATGACAGCGAGGATGAAGAACCAAGAATAAAAGATGTTTTGAGTCACCTTTCTCGAGCAGTGCCAGAAAAACGTGCCTCTGATTTGCTGCCTAGTATGGCCGCGTCCAAAGATATTCTTTTCTGGACCCCCAGCGGACAATTACTTCGAAATAAACGCACTATTCCCGTCACAAACATCGCCGAGCTAGTTGAGCATGTGTTACTCCCTCATAACAATGAGGTTATCAAGCCTCGTGCGCTGAATACGTTTCTAGATGGACTTGCGGAGTTAGGAACCGATAAAGGTTTAATCAAGAACAAAACATTGTTAAGTGATTTAATAGAAAGGAAAAAGGCTTTACCAAAATGTAGAAAATACTTCCGATAACGAGAGTAATAATGAGGAGAGTTCATCGGATATTGAAAATCAGGAGGAGGAGGAAGTGGCTTCTGAGAATGGTGTTGAAGCTGAAGGCACCCAAGAGAGCGACAACGACACTAAAAACGACAGTCAGGAAACAGAAAGTAGTAACTCTGAAACGTCCAACACCTTTAATTCACTCTAAAAGTCCCTGTGAACACTGCGAGAACTCTAATGTGTGCGGGACATTGATCATGAAATGTCCCAAACGCTTCTGGCACGATTACTACAAGATTTGTCCTACATGCGATCACCAGATTCGCGAGGGGAGAAATTACGTGAAAGAGGGCTTTCTTCGGTGTCACGATTGTGGAGGAGTTACACACAAAAACGCGAAGACGTTAGAAACCAATTTCTATTCCCCTTCTAAAGAGGAGAACCAAGATGAAGATTAATTAATTTCCATTCCTTACAAATCGCTGTGTATTTGACTCTTTTTGTCATTGTTTTTTAATAAAGTTTTTAAACGGTATATCGAGCTCTCTTGTGTTTTTATTGCTAGCAATTATTAGTCGCGTGTTTTAATTGATCCTTGTTAAGTTATTTCAGATTGTTTATATAACAATTCATCAAGGTGCTCCCTTGGGTCTTTCCTGTAGACCTAATTTGTATTCAACTCTGGGCTTGTGAACTCGCATAATTAACTGACTAACGGTACGTGAAACGCTGAGACTGTAATAGTTTTTCATTTCCTCGAGATAGATGGGAGAAAACGTCAGACAAAATTGAAATAGAGAGTTTTCAGCTCCCCTTTGTGTATATGTGTTTTGTTTATATATACCCGAGTTTTAGAGCTAAATAAGAAGACATAAACTATATTGAAACAAAGACTTTTCCACTCCACTTTCTGTATGTGTTTTGTTTAGATATCTGAGTTTTAGCGCTAAATAAGATATAGGAAGCCGTTTCTCGCGTTGCTAGGTGATCGCTTCTCTTATTCCTATTTTCCTTTTAATAGACGGTCTGAAAACCGGGCTCAAGTTACTTCACGGGCAAGCCGAGGCAAGTCTATTGTTTCTATTGAAGTAGAGAGACGCTCATTAGTAAACCTTTCCACTTCATTATATGGAAGAAAGCACTATTTCCCTAGGTTGTAACAATGGGTGACGTCATGGACTCGACCGTTATACATATTAATTAAGGGAAGGCATACAGAAGGCAAGGAAAGGCACCAACGGGGTTAAGTTTGACCCTAGTAGACTACTACAATTCCCTTAGGATTCGCAACCATCCTGCCTTTTTTGGTTCTTCCAATTTTGTGGTGTTATACAGACTTGTTCCGGATGAGCTTGGAGACGTTTTCATGTTGTGTCGTAACACTTGCACTTTCTCCATGGTTGGTATTCAACACTCAAACATGATCAATCATCAGCCATCTTAGCAAAACAGTTACGTTTTAACCACGGTGGCTTGACATTCAACACCCACGGCAAACCAGCGGTTAAAATGATGGCAATTGTTGTAGCTTTGCTTTTTACTTGCTATGGAATTTATCTATTCTCTGATTTTGTATTATTATTTTTTCACGAAGCTTTGTGTTACGATGTCAGATATAAAATACCAATATTCGTTTCAAACTCTGCCGTTCACCCTTTTACCTATGCTTTCTTCAAATGGGACATAAAGAAGGAGATTAAAAAACTAGTGTGTAGAACAACGTTTAAAAAGGATAACGGGATAGAACTCATTTATAAAAGCAATTCATGTAGTAATATATGAAATGTACTTCGCTGGACATTTTTTGATCCCATTGTGCATGATAAACTCAGTTGTGGAGTTAAGAAACTCGATTGGTATTACGCCTCTAGAATACTGTTGATTGATAGTATATTGTAGCACACATGAAGTATGTTTCTAGTTCCCATGATCCTTCAGTTCAAACTATGTGCTCTCGTAATGGCGGTTCACGAATAAACCCATGTTGTTCTGTTCTACTCTTGTCGTGTTCCTCGTTCTACACTCTAACAAATCAACAAATACGTGGCTTATTGCTGGACGGAAACAATGCTCAGGGTCTTGAAATATAAAGAAGAAAGTATTGTCTTTGCCCTACATTGACCTACAAACCGCATTCAGCTTCAAGTCCATGGCCAGGTACTGAACATGGCGGTCCTTTCTCTGCGCAGAGACGTAGAAACAGCGTTCCTCAGTACACCCTTCCAGGGTTTTTTTACAACTTTTGGCATATAACTGATGAGTTAGAGAAAATCCGTCAACGCCACTGGAAAGAGGGCCTAAAAATTAGTAAACTTGCCAATTTGGAAAAATTTGGAAAGTGATACGTCAAAAGCTTGCAAAGATACTTAGCTCAGTAAAGTTGCAAAAATTTACAGTAGAAGTTTGTATGCTGTAGGGACAGGGAGAGGGGGTTGATGGAACGCCTCTCTGAAGTTTTTGACTTGTTGCAGTTTTTCAAAAAGATTTTACCTTTAGCGGAAAGCCTTTGATGTTCTCAACAAGATCAGTGAGGCATATTTTAGAAAATCCTTAAATAAGAATGACCAATTGTGGTTTCATATGTTCCCGTGAAAGAAATGATTGTTAATGATATATGAAATAAATCATATATGAACTGCGGTAATGAAACGAAAATGAAGAAATGATCGTCGCAGTGAACCCAATTTATGCAATTTCGTAAGGAAGCCTTTCACGGGAACATAAAAGCCCAACAACTGACCTGCTCCCAAAGTCAGTGGCTTCATAGCTCAGTTGGTAGAGCATCGCACCGGTAATCGCGAGGTCACGGGTTCAAACCCCGTTGAAGTCCTGAATTTTTTTCAGGCTTCTTCACGCAATTGCATAAATTGTGTTCACTGCGACGATCATTTCTTCATTTTCATTTCATTTCCGCAGTTCATATATGATTTATTTCATATATAATTAGCATTGCTTTATTTTATTCGCAAGTTTTACTTTAACGTTAGAAGAAATTGAAAAAACACACATTTTCATTCAAAAATGGCTTTACCACCTGCTACTTTTGACGTCATATTTCGTAACCATGGTAGCCGATCATCACTAAACTTACCTCGAAATGCACGCGAGAGATAAACGAACAGCTGCTGTAAACGTCAGGTGCTTATGTTTGATCTTCTAGGGAAAACTCTGAAAAACCTCAGAGAGGGGAGGCATACACCCCCCATGTAGGACTCCGAGGGTTAATAGAAAGGTCTTATAATATGCGGGTGTCATAATTTCACTTACTATAGCCTAGTTTATCCGAAGGCGGAGTTTTGTTATTCTTTTTGCCCCAGTTGGTTAAAACGTGGATAAGGCTATCCATCGGATCATTCTTTATCCACTGGATAGCGCAATTGGTTTTCTTAATACCTATCCACTGTATGGTGATTTATCTGACCCCAAAAAGATACGGATAACGATATCCACTCTCAGATCAATCTCTATCCAGGGGATAGCGCAATTGGTTTTCCTATTACTTATCCGCTGGGTAATGATTTATCCGACGGATAGCGCTATCCAACGTTTGAACAACTGGGCCCTAGTAGATAGTGCTATGGCCATCTTTTGAACATCCGGGACATGTTTAGAAGCAGCACGAATTTCATTTTCCATAATTACGAAGTCCAATGGACGAACTTTTCGGTTTTTTGTTTGCTTGTTTGTTTCTTTTCCTTGCTTTTTCTTCGATCTTCAAGTCTCCCGGCATTAGTCATTAGAATTAACAATAGTTGAATCATGACAAAATGAGACAGAGTGGCTTGTTGCGTTTGATAACAGGTCGGAGCTTTAAGTCTCCACGAATTTGCCTTTCGCTGAGTTAACTGAAGACAATTTCATTTAAAAGTAAAGTAGAACGAAGCTGAAACGATCCAGCTAATTGTTCTAAATGCTTTTTGCGTTTTGCACTTTACTAGCCTAAATTGCCCCTAAATCCCATCTAATGGCGACACAAGCCAAAAAGGAATGGGAATTTCTACGCTTTGCATAAAAGTTTATTTACTGTTGACATTCAACAAAGTTTTTATCGCTCGATTAATATCAGTTATTGATTTCACAACAGGTGAATCAAGAAAAAAATAAAACAGAGCGGCTTATTTGCATTTAATAACAGGATCCTGAAGACTCCAGAAAATTGTTTTTCGTTGAGTTAAGCGAATTTAAACAGACCCTTCTAACTGGTCTATTAAATGACTTTGCTGTCCTACAGTCAACTCAGCAATCATTATCATAATTTGACATATATATCAAATGGTATATATTATGTTCTTAAGATAAGGTGCAAACCTTACCAGATGTTTATAAGATATCCTTTCCTTTCTTACCTTTCTTTCCCCAGTTAACGTGAGCGTATAAAGCAGGAATAAAGCTTCCAGTTAAGGTTATGTTCCACGATCACAGCATGGTATAACTTGAATTTGAATTTTTGGATGAAGAACCGCCGTTAACAGATTTGTTGATCGCAGTTACTATTAGTCGCAACTCCTGAACCAGAAACTGTGTTGTTTTGGATCAGCTCCAAGCTGAACGTAAGCTGAAGTTGTCCTGTTCTCTTCAATGGAAACTTGGTTCACGATTCTTGGTTGGACACTATCCATTGTGGCGGCGGCTGGAAATGGTTCCATTATTTTTCTTGTTTGCAGCAAACGACGGCTCCTCACTAAAACCAACGCTTTTATCATTTCTCTTGCAGTAGCGGATCTCGGTGTAGGGGCTAGCGTTTTCCCTTCAGCGTTTTTCTGCGAAGTCGTTAAAACTAGCCATAATTCGTCTTCAATATGTAAGGATATCTATAAGCGAATACGATGGCTGTTCGGCTACGCATCTGTGACAAGCTTGTGTTGTTTAGTTCTGGATCGTTACGTGGCGATTGTTAAGCCTTTAAAGTATCTAAATTTTATGAGCCGAGGTCGTGTTATCAAAATGATTTTTGTTTCCTGGGCAATCCCTGTGGGATTTGTCATAACTTCATCATTATTTTTCTTACCTGCTCCAGTTAGAAAGAATATTGCTGCCATATTTGTTATGTTTTGGGAGATTTTTTCATGCTGCTTTCTAATATTCTGCTTTTCCTCTATGATACTTGTGGTATATAAACATGATAGATCATCAGCCATCTTAGCAAAACAGCTACGGTTCAACCACAGAGGTTTGACAGTCAGCAGTCAGGACAGATCAGCAGTAACAATGATGGTGATTGTAATAGCCGTGTTTCTCGTCTGCTATGGAATATATTTGCGCTGCAGTTTAGTAGCACTTCTTGATCTCAAATGTAATGATACAGACTATAAAATACCCATGTTAGTCCTGAATTCCGCCATCAACCCTTGGGCATATTCATTCTTCAAGAGGGACATAAAGAAGGAGATGATTAAGAAATTGATTTTCAGAAAAACTAAGAAGAAACTGCAAAATCAATAAGTATTAAAAATGCAAGATTTGCGATTACAGTTGTTTAAGTCAAGAAATCAAAAAAAAATGTTAAATCCTTTTGAGCCCGTTGGGACAGTTTTGACAGTTTTTTCCAATAATAATTACGCGCAAATTTACATATTATGGTTTATGATCAAATGCCAGGGGCACCCAGCGAGAATATAGTTCAAAACCACTTAAACATGGCATTGTTAAACGTATTTTAGTATTTAAACGGTAGATATAGGCATATTTTTATCCCCTAAAAATTTTTCATCTATTCGGATTTCCTAGCTGAAAGTCTAGTGATCCAAAAATTATAGGGATCAATTAAAATTTACCTTTTCGAAAATTTCAGCCAGAAAAAAGGCTCCCGAAAATTCTAGGTGACCTTTTTAGGGTAAACACCCGTTAAAAAATGGGCAATTATGCCATTTTTTAGTGTTCGAAAATCCTAGGAGAAGCAGGCAAGGAAGAAATTTTACAACAAATTTTCCGAAAATTCTAGATCTCAAATCGTCCTCTGAACAGATATTGTCTGAATATAATATTGACGTTGGGTGCTCCTGAAATGCGCGTAAAGTAGAAGATAAACTCTAGACTTAATGCCTCCCAGCTAATAGTCAGGGGGAGACAACGAGAATATAGTTCAAAACCACTTAAACATTGTATTGTTAAACGTATTTTAGTATTTAAACAGTAGAAATAGGCGTATTTTTATCCCCTAAACATTTTTCATCTATTCGGATTTCCTAGCTGAGAGTCTAATGATCCGAAAATTGAAGGGATCAAAACTTACCTTTTCGAAACTTTTAGCCAGAAAAAGGCTCCCGAAAATTCTAGGTGACCTTTTTAGGGTAAAAATCCGTTAAAAATGGGCAATTACACCAGTTTTTAGATGTTCGAAAATCCTAGGAGAGGCAGGCAAGCAAGAAATTTTACAACAAATTTTCCGAAAATTCTAGATCTCAAATCGTCTTCCGAACAGATATTGTCTGAATATTGACGTTGGGTGCCCCTGAATAGCGGATTCAATGACTCGAAAATCGTTCTATTGTTACAATTTATTTAATAGATACCTTCCTTTATCGTGATTATAACAGTTTGATCCCATACTGCCTGGCAACTCAGACAGTGTTTTAGGCAGATAAATTGTCAATCGAACAATAGACATTTTCTGTAATAATTATTAAGCGGACTTTGAAAACTAAATCACAAGGACAAATGTTTTAGAGATATAGAGAAAGATATCTAAGGTCTTGACTTCAAGTTTAAACACAGTTCAAGAAACCTTTGTTTGCTCATAAAATAAAAGCTCACCGCAATTAACGTTTGCGACAACTGATAATTAGCCCTAAGAAAACAAACAAAACTGTCATCGCCTGGACGCGCTAACTTACTATTGTAATTTGCATTAAAAAAAACACCGATTGAAAGAAGCGCAGCCAGATGCAGTCATCGTCATACTACAAGCTTGTATTGACCATGCTGACCACATCTTTTGTATCAGAGTGTAGACTATGGAAAGCGTGCTTGACGACTGTTTGGCATAGTTTTTGAGCAAATACGTGCTCAAAAAAGAGCAGCGCCAAGCTGTTTTGGGTTTACTAGAGCAAACGCCGGACTGGCTGTGGCCGTTCTTACCACGAGTTTTGGGAAAATTTTAATTTACCAGTTGTTCGCGGCAGTGAAACTCAAACAAAGAGAAAAGAATGTAGTATTAGTTGCATCGCCATTGCAGATGTTATCAATGATCAAGCTGAAGCAATGTTTTTTTAAAACCATTTTATATCAAAATATATGCTATTTACTGAATTGTAATTACCAACTGTGTGCAAATTCATCATCTAACTTCGCTTTTACCAATACGTTCAGCTACGTTCAATTCTGGCTGGGATCTAACTATCAAGTGTAATCATATAACTTTCAAAAAGCTTTACTGTTGGCTTTGAGTAATAGGTTGCAACTGGTTGTCTTACAACACGAATCTCAAGCCTCGGGCTTACTTATATTTTGAGAAATTATTTAAAAGAAATCCACGAGCCCTTCGATCTTTTTTTTTTTCTTTGAAATAGGTAGTGAAGAAGGGAGTCAGTATGGAGATATTGCTAACTCACTTGTTGTCAAAGTGTATTTATCGTGCAGTGATACAGTTGACTCCCGATAACTCAAACCTCACTAACTCGAACTTCTCGCTAACACGAACCAAAATCGATTTCCCCTGGATTTCCGTCATACATTCACTGTAATTTTACCCTCCCGCTAACTCGAAGTAGTTTTTGTTTCCCCTCAGATCCACTGGACGAAAAAACGGATTTACTAATGTTTGCGAAAGGTGCAAATATGTGGTAAATTTGGAGCTCCAAATTTGCATTACATTTGCGCTGTCGGCTAAAGTGTGGGCAAATACATATATTTGCTAGATACGTATTGATACGCAAAAGTGAAGTAAATGTAATGGTTTGATACAAATTTGATACATATTTGCAGCATGGGCAAATCTTCAACATTTCTACCAGTTTACTCAAATTTACATCCTTGGCAAAAATGACAGTTTTCACTTTACTTCAAATGCAGGCAAAAATATTGCAGAACCCCTAATTTGCAGTGGTATTTGCTCTTGTTTTTCCAGGATACCAAAAGAACACTTTTGCATGTGGTTTACTCGTATTTGCCTTAAGAGCAAAAACAATAAATTTCTAGACATTTGGCTGTATCATAAATTTGCACATTTGCATCATAATTATCCATATTTGCAAGGGGAGCAAATATATTGAGCTGCATAACATTTGCTGACAGTCAAAGGTGATGTGCATGTGACATTTCCTATATGTTTGATCCGTTTTGTGACTTAAGTAAATTTCCAATCTCAACTGTAACATTACATTGTTACAATAAAATTTTGTACACGCTGTGAGACTCCGCCCAGAGGTCCAACCCCTTACATGCATCTTTCCTGTTAACAGTTTTATGTGCACTGTCATTTTAATATAAAGGAATCAGAAACCAGTTAATTTTTTTTGACAATTTTACATTCACAAATTTCTTCTGTTAGTCTTTTTACAGAACGAAATGACAGATAGTCTACCCTGTCATATACTTTAACTCAGGAAATCCCTATCCTTTCATACCTGAAGCATGAAAAAGGTGTCCCTTTCTGACAGCGCCCCTGGCATAAACCTTTCCCGGGCTACTAATTTAAAGCAAATACACTAATTCAAATCCACTCGTTATTAAGGTCCAGTAGTCAGATCATTGATGCACTGTATTTCCTACAGTCAGGGCCATAGCCAGTATGAGGCAAACCGAGGCACTTGCCTCTGTCATTTAAGGTTTGATCATGGCAGTGTTTTGTTTCAACGTAGTCATCATAAAGACCCCGAATAGCTAATACATATACTGCAGGGTTCTTTCTATATTTCCGACAATATTTATACTGATTCTAGAATATTAGGGGCATATATCATACGGGACTTATTTGTTGTAGTTTTGACTGACCACCTAGGGAACGCGTCCAAATATCGGTAGGCAACCCGATCATGGGAAACGGACCCGATTAATTTTCCGATTGATCGGAATCGGTACCGATCTATAGGCACCAGTTGCCATTTCCGATTACGATAAAAACTTTGCCGATTCAATCGGAGCCGGTTGACATTCCGATGTTCATATGTGTCATCGTCATATTATTTTATCTGATATGTAAAATGAAGCGTGTCACGAAACCAAATAATGAAAGAGTCGTTTCACTCCAAAGTAATTTCAATCGACTGTACCTTTTTCCTACTCCATAACAAATAGTAATATTGTATATTCCTGCATGTTGTGTTTCGAGTTTGTTGATTTGATGCGTGCCTATACACGTGATTTTCGGCGTTTTGCAGAGGTATTTCCTTCAGTCGATCGCAAACACCACGCTGCTCCATAACATTTATTCTATGAAAATTAAAAGGAGTTAAATATTACGACGCAAAACACCACTGTTCTTCGTTGATATATAGCAAAGAAAACAACTTACTGAGTAGTGTGTTCTTTACTCGATACTTTCTAACAATGCAATCCAAAAACACAACCGGAACTCACTTTCTCGAAACACAACTGCATTCGTAGACTTGTTACAAGTAGACCTCAACGGGTTTCCTAGCGAGCGGAGCGAGAGCAAAACCATGGATAAGATAAAACCACGGGATAAACTTTTACGAAAATTTGCGTCTTTCATTCAACGATTTTAAACGCAAGGTGTAATGCGATCTGAGGCAAAAAGTACTGACCAATTAGATTGCGGCCTCAGGTTGTCTCCAGGGAATTAGCAAGAAGAACTGAAAGATTCCCACACTCGCGAGTCACGGAAGACACGGAACGAAGTTTCATACAGGAGCTACCAAGAGAGAATGGCTTAGCGACTTTGCTGTATGTTCTGTGAGCTTGAGCATGGTGCCACGTGAAATTGCTTTCCACTCTCAGCACTTAGAAAAATTTGCGCTTGACTCTAGGTGGCTGACTTTTTGACAAAAATCAGAACCTTTTTTACCGGAGTGTTCCACGCATACATCCGGTAAGTTTGACTCAATTTAATAGCGGAAAGAGAATCGAGAAAGAGAAAACCAGTTGAACGCCTCCATCAGTCACTTTTTTGAGTTCATATGCAACCAATAAACAACTTGCAGCCTGATTCTCAGACGATGTCCTCTTCTTTCCTGTGGCAATTTAGCAGTTAAAGTACACAACATGGTAACAACATTTGCATTTTGGTCGTGGATGTTCTGACTTCTTTCTATTTTTTTCGTTTACAGTCCTAAACTGTTTATTCCTCCAAAGATTCCTATAATCATGCGTTTTGGTTTCCGGTTAGCACAGGCTCAAGCTATTTTAAAATTATCATTTTGAGATCGTACACTTGCAATGTACATTGCGCCGTCTTTCACTCAAAAGATGCTCTTCAGCGTTGTTGAATGACCTGTTGTTTCTTCTCGTGCCCATTTTGATACACACATTTAATATTTTCTGGT